ATATTGTCAGCTCACTTTCTGCTTATGCATGCGTTTTATCCTCTCTGCTCTAAGTGGCACATTACTTTGCCGTATCTCAGGCTTAAATTCAGCTTTATTGTGTTGTGCTAATCCACACCCCGGGAGATGCTCGGGGAGTGTGTGTGTTACATGTGCTTTTGAATAGATTATTGATTAAGCGTTAATATTTCATTTCCGCTCATGAATAGGATGTGCTGTGCAAACTGACACTCGCATTTAAAAGCGGGGGCTGGAGGAGGTGGAGGCGTGTTATCGGGGGCGTCGGCCTCCGTCAGAGCCGATCATTCTCCCCCCTGGAGGTGCCCCCATGCGTGTTATTGTCTTCTATTTTAAGTGCCTCCCCACCGAGTGAGGCCCAGACAGAGCTGAGCAGAAGTCTGCCAGTGTCGCTCTCCTGCAGAGAAGACAGCAAGTGTGAGTGATACGCAGATTTAGTTGTCCGTCCAGGAAGAAAAACTTTGCTGTATGCGTGCACAGACACATACACACAGCAGCAGCTATCCCCCGTGATGGTTCTCCAAAATGCCAGATCTCAAGTTACGACGGTTTACTTTGTCACAGTAAAATGTCAAACTAAGGGTATTTTCTTTTAGATTTTCTTTCCCCAGTTTGTTAGCTCACTGTGGCAGAAACAAACACATGCTAACAGTGTTGCTAGAATTGTTAAACATATTTTTGAATATTACTCTTTAAAATTTTAACTTGATTAGGTTCATGACAGAGAAGAGCTTTCATTTATCATCGTCCATATCTCATATGCACACTAATACCTTTTCACTAATTGGCCAGCCTTTTGGAATGAGCCTAAATGATTTATTATTGACCATTTTAAATCTGTTCCATTTTTACTTAGGTCTTAGATCACTGTCATTTGGTAGTATAAATGTGAGGGATGTTCTTAATAGAGAGAGAGTAGAGTAATTACCTTGGTCATACTAAACGGCTGTGTTTTCATAAATTTTCACAAATGTTCTGGCTTTATAAGAAAATCAGACAACTGGGCTTACCTACAATGTTAGGACCAACAATGGTTCTGACTCTGTAACGTGTCTTTTTACAAAAGACTAAAAGAATCTCTTTCAGATTACTGAGTTTAAGACTGAGGTTATGTTTAAGGAGACTTAACCTCAGTAACCAAAAAGAAATGGAAATGGCATTGCAGACTTCTGCCTGTTTTCAGATTCTGGTACGTTTTGCAGCTTAAGCTGGGCCTACACTACATGAGTTTTAGCCTGATTTCAACTCCAAGTCGACTCCATGTCAAATCTGACAGGTTTTAGTGGGGAGCACTTTTATACAATGCAAAACCTTATACCGCAAAAGCTAATAACAAGACTAAAATATTTTTTTATACTAATGACTTGGAAACTGCAGAGAATCTGTATTGAACTGCTAGTGAGCAATTAGGGGTAGTTACTCAAAAAAGCAACTTAATTCTTACTAAGTTAGTAACTGTAATGCCATCACAAGAATTGAAGCTGTAATGTGTTACACTGCTTTGTTAAAAAGAAAAAGTAATTACATTATTGTAATGCACAACTTTGTGTAGACTCGAGGATCAGACAGCTTTTGCATATTGGTAGTTACACATGCTATAATTTATATGGGCCATATGCTTAACCTCACATCACGACACTGTCAAAATATGCGGGTTTGTTAATGCTGAAAATATTTTATTCTTTTATTATTTTTTATTATTAATGTTGCTTTATGCTTGTGATATTCGAGCATAATCTGAACACAGTGTGTCCTGGGGATGTTTACATCCAGATTTCATGCAGTCGAGTGAAATGAGAACGTGATCCGATCACCAAAAATGCATATTAATGCAAGGTGTAAACAGGCCCTTACAGTGTGAAATGTTGTGAATCTATATTGAGCTGCTATTAAGCTCAAAAAAGTAAAATAATGCAGTTCTTAGTAAGTCAGTAACTGTACTGACATAACAAGATTGATTTTTGCACTGTAAAAGTAATTACATTACTGTAATGTATTACTTTATGTAGACTTGAATCAGATTCACATGAAGCACTTGTGAAAATCTCTGATAGGCATCAGACAGTTCGTGCAGCTCTATGGGTGGAGGGTCTGAGGCTGAGAGGGTTCGGCTTTGAAAATTCTTTTTGGATATTACACATACTATAATGCATATGGGCCGTACGCCTGACCTCACATCATGACAGTGTACAGTGTTTCTTAATCCAGAAAATATTTTGCTATTTTATATTTATGTTGCTTTGATAGTGTTTTGCCCTTCATTGTTATATTCTTTGAGCTCCACTGACTGGGTATATGTGTATGCATGAGATATTCTGACTGTATTTGCGTCTGTGGATTAGCTCAATCCTTTCAAGCAAACCATATAGAATTGTTGCACCTCCAAATATCAGGCTCACTGCATGTGCATTACATTCACTGTTGTGCAGCGGACTCCGCTGAACTGAATATTTATCCTTGCTTTGATGTTCTCTGTGGAAAATCCCATCATTAAGCATGGCTTCCTGCCATGAATCGCAGTGACAATATGTGACCACTTCCTCTGGCTCCTCTGGTCGAGAGCCCTGGTGACAGGGCACACAAAAGAAGCAGCGGAGATCACTCTGGCTCATTCTGAACACGGGACAATACGCACTGATGCGTTCACCATCTAGGCGAGAACTAAAGCAACATGACAAAGTGAAAGCCACAGTTCCATGTCCACTGTGAGAGGAAGCGAGGAAGCTGTCAGTCAGAACTAAAGACATCCAGTCTGGAGATTTTTGTAAGGTTTGAATGCCATCTTTATGGCTTAAAGAGGGTGAGTGGCAGGTTCCTCGTCCTGGACTGTAAAGAACAACTGCGCGATGATGGCCGTGGCAACCTAGTCATCTCTCTGACACAGATCATGATTGAAGATGCACTGAGCTTATGTAACTTGCTGCTGACGCACAGGCCGACTCACCATCATCTGCTGAAAGTGGCCTTTTTTTTCATCACATTAATTGTCCTTTTAGAACTCGGCCTGAACTCTCCATATTATTTCCAGTCAACATGAGTCCCCAGTTATAACCCACAGTGCAATGCAAAAGACTAAAGCTGTAACAGTTTCAGTATAATATTGAAAAATTGAAAAAAGAACATATGAAGTTCTGTTTTGAAATGTTAACTGTGTCACAATACATTTCTTATTTTTACCCCTACCCCTTGTTTTTGAGAGTTACCCTGCCCCTTGGAACTGAGTTACAAGGGGTAGTGATTGAAATCTTCCTCTACAAAATGGGACAACCCTCAAATGAAGAAGAACATTACTTCACTAACAGGCTACTAGCGGTGCTCTGTAGGCGACCCTGCCAGTCTGCAGTGATAGCAGAGGTGGTGGTCTTAAGTTACATTTAGGGCATCATATGCCTTCAAAGGGGGGGGGTGTGACAATTATTTATTATCGCCCACCCCTAATTCTTTGTCTAAGTCAGTAAAATGTAACTGCTGCACCATTTAAGGTGGAACGGGAAATTTAGCTAGCAGCCAGGGCATCAGCATTCTACTAGCGATTTTTTCATGCTTGTTATAAAGAAAGGACCATAATACATTGAAACAACATTAAACTAAGATAATACAATGGTTATCGTAATTTTTTAACTGAGAAAATACTCACATTTGTGGGTCTCTTTGGTCGCTTGTGCAGCACCTTGCCAGTTTTTCTTTTTTTTCTCGTAAGACTCCGTTTGCAGTGTGCCTCTGAAAAACCTCCTTTTGGAGGGCCATGTAGCCCTAACACTTCGCCCAATCCTTCAATCTCAACAAAAATCGGGACACCCTAGCCCTAGACATGAACGTGCAAAATGGAGGGGTAAGGGCTATGTGAAAGGGGTGAAATGGGATCAGGCCTAAATATTTTGAAACATTTGCAACACTGCTGTGCTTTTACAGTGCTTCAAGGTGAGTATCAAAGAGGTAATGTCATGTGTTTTCCAGCAAACAAGACGTCTTTACATTGCACTGCTTTATATAGGTTTTGAAACATTTTTAACTTTTGGTGCTTGGACCCTAATGGGTAAAACCCTTAGAACTCTTGTCAAATGTATGGCAGCTGACACACTCATGCTTGCAGCTGTCGTAACTTCATACTTACAGACTGATTCAACCAAGTTTGTGCCGATCAGCAATATTGATTCAGCGGAACCATTTTTTTTTTCAATGTCAATATTAAAACATTGATATATCCTCCCTTTTTAACCTCTTTCTGCAGGCCTCATAGTGAAATTAAGTTGGATATTTTAAATGAATATAATCAAGTACAATATCTTTCCCTGTAACTCATTATCAGATTAAGTAGGACATTGCTGACTCTCTGTTTACACCTTGCATTAACATGTGTTTCATGTCCGGATCGTATCTGGATAACTTTGGCCTGATTCTGTTTACACTTTTCACTAAAATAGATCTGCAGTGTGGCCAGATGAGATCTGATTTTACTTTATCTGCATAAAAAGAACATCAACATATACATTGTTTCGATTTTATATGGCCAAACCTGAAAATGTTTATCATCACACTCCAGCAGAAGAGAGTGATTCTGCTTAAATCTTTATTGTGTTTCATACAAGCACCCGTATTTTCACACTGATAATGCACCAGATAGTCATATACGGTACAGTATATCAGAGATATTTTGAGCATCCGTGAACATTCCCACACATTTTCATAGAAGAAGTGTGGAGGAAGAGCCACAAAAGTAAATAGACACTTCATTATATACATATAATCCTCCTCTTCATCTTCTGAACGCATTCAGTGCAAACATATATGAATAAATAATGCAGTATTAGCATAAACAAACTTTAAAATCCATTCCATGCTGCCCAGTTGAACTGCTAGCATTAGATGTGGCATATTACAGAGTCTGGTGACAGCATTCACTGAGTTATTCATTCTCACTGTGCTGAATGTAGGGGTGTGTTAGGTGAGCAGTGAAGCTGAAAGGACAGGATGGAACTGGGTTTTGATTGACAGGCAGATTGAAGGCAATCAGTCCCAAGTAGAAGCGTCCACCTCCTGCTGCCGTCGCCTCATGATTTCCTCCAGCTCAGAGTCGCCACTGTTGCTCTGAGAGAGAATGAATATAGAGAGAAGTTTACCAAGCGCATCTGCGGTGATTAGGCATGCGTTTGTAATGCGCGTTCTCATGAGCATTTGTGTTGTTAATTAAGCTTTAACAATGTAGCTGATGTCCTTGTGGCCCTCTGAGTGACTGACCTCTATCTGGGCCTTCTGCACGCTGATCTGGCTAAAGACCCGAGAGCCCTCGTCACCACTCACTGCCTTAAGTTCGTCCTTACTCAGAGAGAAGAGCTGTGCTCCAGTCAGAATACCCAGACAGTCCACCACCCTGAAGCAGCGGAAACAATAACACTCTGTTCTCAAAGAGCTTTTTCACTTAAATAGCTCCAGGAATTAAACAATGGAAGGATCGTGTTAAAGCAATAGTTTGGCAAAAATCTAATTTAAACTATTTACTTTAGGGCCATTTTCATGAAAACTGCCTCATATCATAGATATTTATCACTTTTTTTAAAAATAAATACAAAATGAGTTTGGATTTCTTTTAACCGTCTTAATCTCTTTACTGTAAACTGTAAGGATATGAGCCAAAACAACAAAACGCCACGTGGCACAATAAAAAGAAAAACTTGAGTGGCTGAAAATGTGTTACATTATGAGATAAAACTGCAAAACAATATATTCTGCAAAATACATATGTTTAAATAAACAGCTTCAAAATGCTTAGTCTGACAGCCACATACAGATTATCAGATTATAAAAAGAAAAGTTATGAAAAACTATAACTTTAAAAACTTAATATGTTGCAGCAATGAGAATTTGGTCATTTATCTTGAAAAATGTTACTAAAAATCCGTTTAAACTCAATAAAATAATTCAGGTTCATTTTTGATTATTCAACCATGCCTCATTGTTTTTATAGCCAAGTAAAAGAGAAAACATTAAATTTTAGTTATTAAATTTTTTTCCAAGTTGGGACCCAGTATTTGTCAAGTTCACGAGAATAACCCTTTACCCGTATATAATCAGTCGGCTAAGATGCAAGACGTTTGGTGTTGTAGTTTTGTATTTTAGCTACAAGATTAATACAGCTAACAAATAATGGAAGCTCATTAGAGGGGAAAGTGCAGACCTGCGCCATCTGCTGGCTGCTTTCAAAACAGTTTTAAATCGCTAGGGAATTTGCCACAGGGACATTTTAAAAATTAAAGGATTAAGAATTACTTAAAGCTGGAACATTAATGAAACAGCTATTTTGCATTCATACATGCAGCTATGAGTATGACAATATTTTTATAAGATTGAAATACAACTGAATTACAAAACCCATGGCACAGTGTTGGTGTTGCTTCGTGTGGTGTGTGTTAGCGATGTCATTTACACTACAGACTTTGGTGTTCATTTTGGGAATATGCTCGTAAAAATAATATTTCTGTCATTTACTGTCATTTCATCATTTGTAGCACTGATATAACTGAAAATGTGTGTGACATGGCCAGTTATATTGTACAACCTCAAATTGATTGTTACATTCTGAATACAAACAGCAGGGCAATTTGATGACTCTGTACAACAGTTAGCAGTGTGCATCACAAATCATTGTGAGTTAGTAATCTCAAATAGACTTGATTACATGGTTTGACATTGTTATCTGTAAAAAACAGACAAAATAAGGTCTGTTTGAGGTTACTTAACAACTTAGCACAAGTTTGATGCATGTGTATGATGATTTAGGTATGCAGTTTAATGCTAAGCTAGTAGCTTTGCTTCTCGTATTAGTTAGCTACATCTGCCTCATAGCTCCATTGCAATACTAAATAAGCAATTTTCAGACTCCAAATGAGTCTTTGCTGATCAGTTATAAATGAGTAAGTGAAAAATTGGTTACTTTTTTACAATTGGGTAGATTTTTAACCCATCTGTTCTCAGACTCTTGAATGTTTTGCTAGCTTAGCCTGTAATACTTTACCTCCGCACGCTACATTCATACAGATACACATGCTCAAGTGCACAAGAAAGCACACTCACGGCCTGGAGAAGCCCTTGGCATTGAGCCAGGCATGGACCTCGTAGGGCTGAGACTGGTAGGTGATGGGAGCCGTTCTGACAGAATGTTCCACCCGGAAATTGCGAGCAGGAGTCTGAGCTCTGCTGTCTGTAATTCTCTTCAGAAGCTCATCATTCATCTCCTTCTGCTGGGTACGGTCTGACAAGCGTTAGAAAAAAGTTTGTAAAATACTTTTATGTTATTTTGTTATTTTTCTTTTCTTGCTCCATTTTGATTTTTCGAAATTGCTGTTCATATGTCTTATGATAGTTTTGTAATTAATAAGTTTATTTCGGTTTATTAAGGTGTTTACACCCATAAAAATAATTATAGGCAATACAAAAATAAAAATATAGGTATAAAATATACATAATAAGACATAATAATCAATACAAAAACCAGTACTGACCGAAAAGGTGTAGTCTGAAGCTATAGCTTATTTTGACTACCCTTTATAAATCATACACAATCCTGCATTTAAACAATACAGAGTAATATCCAAACAGAAAGAAAATCAATCAATATTTCAGAACATTTCATACATAATAATGATCATTCCTCAGTTTTATAAGTGCTTACCACCTTATTTTTAAACATTTTTTTAAATTGCAAAGTGAGCTACACATTCTTAATTCCTTATCACAATTATTCCACAAACATACATAATAGTTTTAAATTTTGTAATTCTGCATTAGTTTTAACCTTACTTTTAAATCTCTCAGCATTAGTTCTCATTATTTCAGTGTTGCTTTGGCAGTACTGTAACTAAGCATGGTTATGCCAGTAAAGCTTACCCAATTGATGTATCTATCCTCTGCCCACAAATGTGGTGTTCTGTAGAAACTGTCACTAAGTTGGACAGCTTTAAGGAACATTGGTAAAAGTTTCATTCAACCTATTAAGAAACTGTAGCACACTTTTTTTAAGTCTAGTTTCAGTTGGCTACAACAACATAGTCCAGCATGGTAGCTTTTTATTTAGTGACTCCAAACAAACACTGTAGTGATCCAGTTTGAATCATCTACATGAGTTATGTGCTTCAACTTATCATTAACCCTCTTTTGCACAAAGTTGCTTGAGGGTAGCAAGCCCATTTTTCCTCATTCTGCAATTAAAGATAAATATTTAAAGATTAGGAAAGTGTTAGTAATGAACGGAAACGTTTGAAGAAACCAAAAATGTTTGTATTTGGTCACACTCCTGTCTCCTGGTGGGAGTTTTTAAGCCTGTTGAACCTGGTTTCGGCATTGTGCAGCTTGTGGATGATACGCTTTACCTCACCAGATAGTTCTCTACCTAGAACTTTTTTTTTTTAATTTAGAATCATTTTGCGTATTTTGTTGCTTTTCTTTTTAAAATTGTATAAAGCATTTAATATGTAGGCTCATTTTATGCAAGAAAAGTGAATCATACATGTTTTTGCTCTCTTAATGCGTGCAATAGAGGGTTAAAATATGATGTTTGACAGTGTTCTGTAAAGCTTGTCTAACCCTGCGGCAGTACACCCAAATTTCTTCTTGAGGATCAATAAAGTCCATCCATCCATCCATCCATCCATCCATCTAAAACAAGCAATGATAGGTCAGTTGATTTAAATTGACACAGAGACAAGGACGACACAGAATGAGCGCAAGACGGAGAGAAGATGGAGAAACAGAGATAGTGCTTCAGATTGCAATAGAGCAGAGTGATGAGCTCTTGGAATGGGATGCAAGCTATGTATATAGCAGCACTCTCCCGCCATGTGCTTTTACCACTTCACTGTGTTTCTCCACCTGCACTCACTCACACTCCTTCCTCTATCTCACAACCTCTACGCAGCACAGATAAGAGGAGTTACGCACTGTCTTTGTCCCACGAGGATTTGTTCATCTCCACACTCTCTCCATGATTTACCGAAGCAGGGGGAGAGCTAGCTTTGTATGGATTCGCTGCCTGCAGAGAGAAAGAGTGTGAGCGAGAGAGAGAGAGAGAGAGAGAAATAAAGAGAGAAAGAAAGACTATATACCTGCCACACAGAGGTGGCTTTGTATTTGCAAAGTGTTAATAATGAATGAGAGTGCTGGAGGAGAGAGGGAGAGAGAAGGATGTGCGAGGTTTAGGGTGAATGAGTGTACCTGGCTGTTGAAGAGCGCAGCACGGTTATACTGCGGCTCTCCCGCTTTGACCTCCTCCAGCACGTTGCAGGGCACATAGCCCAGCTGACCGCTGCGGTTCCTCAGCAGCCACCACTGCTTTTCACTTTCCAGCACCTGGAGGCCACAGCACGCACGCCCACTTACTCACACACACAGCTCACACACACATGGTCAAACACACTGGCACAGCAGCATGCCTGCAGCACAGCTCAGCCCACAGCACAGCTCGGACTCAGCGCTGCTCTGTCTATTTTCATGTTACAGTGACACAGAGCAGCAACGTGCACTCAGACTCAGAGGTGCAGAGGACCAATAATGCAGTCCAGCGACACTTAACAACATTGTAAACATAACCTTAAAATACAATAACAATATTTAAAGTAAACCTTAACAAAAAAAGTATAACAAACTATAACAAACTATAATACTATGACTATAAAAAAAACCACAAATAAAATTTTTATGCAATCCTGATCAGTCTTGATGAATGCACTGCAGTATCACAAAGAAGCTGCTGGTATTCTCAGAACAATGGACTGACCACCCCAGAGTCCAGACCGCAATATCACTGAATGTGTGCGATTACTTGGATTGTTAGAATGTAAAAATGCAACCAACTTCTAAGACTGAACTTTGAAGGTGTGCAAAAATATCCCTGCATATTTTTAAAAAAACTGTAAGCAAGTCTTCTGAATGAAAGCTGTAATGAAGGTAAAGAGTGGACACACTAAACACTGAAAAAATCAAATTCTATTTAATTATGGAGGCCTCTGTGTAATTTTCTGTTAAATACATGTTTTCTGCTTTCTTCCTGATTTTCCCTTGATGCTCAAAATTAAATAAATGAAAGGAGGTCTCTGTCCTTTGCACAGCACTGTATTACTTACAGAACAAGTTACTCTTTCCTATGTAGGCATTAGGCTACATGTGGCTACCATTATTAAGATGTGACTTCACATTGTGTTGTGCTGCAGGCAGTTCTGTGGTATTTAAGGCTAGATTTGTGACAGAATTAGCCCACATTTGTTGTTTTTTTCCTTTGATCATCCGTCCAGCATTTTCTGCTGGAATCAGCCTGATACCAGTACTGAGTATTGGATCAGTGCCATTTCTATTAATTAAGATTCAGTTGTGTTGTTTTTAACATTTTAGTGTTTTTTGACAGTCTACAGTGTTTCTTCAGTACTGTGCTCCTTCATGATCAGTACACCAACCCACAGAACATTCAATACCCTGACCGCAGATTGACCTCAGATGTTCTGTTACTCCTGTTTCCCACACTAGATCCTCAGCCTTTTGGCCCACACACTGCTCCTCTCCTTCTCTCCTCCTCTCCCACGCTCAGCCATACCTGCAACACCTCACCCTTCTGGACTGTCAGCTCGTTGGCGTTTCGGGCCACAAAGTCATAGCGGATCTTGGCATATTTGGCGTCGCTGTTAGACCTGCGCAGTGGGAAAACAGCGTGACGTGCTGGAGGACGCTCAAACAGAAGTGTCAGATAAGGAAAAGCTTTGCTTTTAGCAGTGCTTGTGATTACAGCCTGAATCAGTTCTGCAGCAGCTAACCACAGCTGCGCAGTCAGCACGCACTGCATTATTTTGGGTAGTTTGCCTAGAGTTGTGCTGTTAGAACACCTCTGCGTACTTCCACCAGAGTGGATCTTCCCTGCAGTTTAAGCTGTAGCTTGCTCAGTGAGTTTCACGACCTAAAAATGTGCCAAAAATGTAAACGAAGGTATAACTGAAGACTAAGTCCCTCTGGTTAAACAGCTGCTTCTGATCATTGAGTATGTGTGTGTGTGTGTTCTGTTTGTGCGTTCTGTTTGTGTGTGTGTGTGTGTGTGTTCTGTTTGTGTGTGTGCGTGTGTGTGTGTGTGTCTATTTTCCGCTGCCAAATAGGGCAGGTGCTTAGTGTTGTCAGTCTCAGACAAAACGACCCAGAAAGCGAGCAGCCAGCCATGGATAAACAACTCATTAAAATGATTCACAGACTAAATTTACTTTGACAAAACTCTACAAATATGATAATTCTATAGAATATATTCCAAGGTGTATATAAATAAAAAATGGGACTAACATTGTTTACACAACCTTTTTTATGCTCATATCTTTTAATGGAAATTACAACAAATATGAGGTACATAGTCTTCAAATTAAAGGTTCATCTGTGGCTCTTGGCTTTGACCTAGGGTTCTAGAATCTTTGGGTTTTTAAACACTTAAAAAAGGTTCTTCACACTCGTACATCTTGTTTACAAGAAATGAGAACCTTCCACTGAAATGGATGTTCTTTAGGGTCTTAAGTGAGTGTTTGGCTCAAAATAAAGTGAGACTAACTTTAATTGTTTACTTAACTTTTTAAGGTAATATCTTTTATAGGTGATAAATTGAATTTTGCCCTCTACAAAATAAAAGTTTGTAAACGATTATTGACTTTGACATACAGTCCCAGGAAAAATCTTTAATTAGTGTAAAACCCTTAGTTCTTTAAAATTTAAAAAGGCAAATCTAATTTACCAAAGAGTGTTTCTTAAAAGAACCATCCACTTAAAGGTTCTTTAGGAAACCGGTGTGTAGAACCCAAAAATAACATCTGGTTAAATTCACATTGACAGAACTCTACAAATATGATGATTCTATAGAATATTGTTCCAAATTGTATAAAATGGGGCTAACTTTGTTTACTGAACTTAATGCTTATGTCTTTTACTGGAAACTGAGATATGCACTCTTCAAAATAAAGGTACCTCAACGGCTCTTGGCTTGGATGTAAGTTCTAGGAAAGTAACTTCTTTAATTAATGAAGAATCTTTAGTTCTTTAAACTTTAAAAAGGCTTTTAATACTCACCCAGCTCATTTACAAATTGAGAACCATCCACTTCAAGGTTCTTTAGGAAACCGAAGAGCATGGAATCAAAACATCTGCTTAAAGTCATCTTGACAAAACTCTACAAGTACGGTTATTCTATAGAATGCAATTCTAATTGTTATTTTGGCTCAAAATAAAGTGAGACTCACTTTGTGCACTTAAATTTTTAAGTTCATATATTTTTTAGAAAACCAGTAGCAAAAAAGAGATTCACATTATTCAGAATAAAAGTTCTTAAACTGCTCTTGGCTTGGATGTTCTCGGAAAAATCTTTTGGTGTAGTTCTTTAAAGTTTAAAAAGCACATTTCATCCACGAAAAAATGTGCTTTTAAAGAACCATACATTGAAAAGTTCTTTAGGGAACTCAAATCCTCAAATCCTAATAAGACGTTTGGTTAAATTCACTTTGACACAACTGTGCAAATATGGTTATTCTGTAGAGAGCCATTCTGAAGTGTTTGTATTTGGCTCAAAATAAAGTGAGACTAATTTTGTTTTCCTAACTTTTTAAGTTCAACTTTTTTACTGGAAACTACAAAAAACTTGAGCTGTGGATTCCCAATAAAACATCAGACTAAAGTTAAAGTCTATCACAAATGAGACATGTGCCTACAAATCATATTCTGTTGCAGCAGTAGTAGCATGTAATGCATTGTAAATCGACATTGTAATGTTCTAAGAAAAAAGTACAAGTATGCTACATGAGAGAGTGGATTTCCAAGTATTATAACAAACAACTTACGACTCGAGCATCCTTTATCAGAAGAGGCTGTGCTTGTTTTGCTGTGAGCTCTGCACCCTCTGTCTCTGTGGAAAGAGATTAACTCGATGTGCTGCAGCTTGCGCACGCAGTGTAGGTCATGAATATTTTAGCAGGCCTGCATAAAACGTGGAGAACTTTAAACTCCACGCACTGGTCCCCATGCATCTTTAATGTGAGCACCTCCTCCCCTCTTTCTTGTCCGGCAGCGGGGGAAGAGGATAAGCTCTGCAGTCCGGTGTCCAGCCTCTGCTAGGGCCCTCTCTTTCTCACCCCATAAATAAATCAACGCTATGAACGCAGGAAAGCAGCACGCCGTTCCACTACAAGCAGATTTGTTTTCGCCTGCAATTGCAGTTTTGTTTACATGCTCCAGATGCTCAAATATTTTAGCTGTCTCATAATAGCTCCTAGTCAGCATCAGTCAGCGTGTGGCATTCTCTTGCGAAGATGTCCTTTCTGGAACGCCTTGGAGAAGGTTAGCATATTGAGTGTTTATGTATATGAATATAGAATTTGGGGTCACATAGCTGTTCAAAATGAGCTTTTTTTTTGCCAGTTTGCACTAGGTTAACAGATTAAATAGGAGACTCTTAAGATCTTAACATTTTTCTTTGCAAAAACTGCAAAACTGAAAAAACAACTGACAAAAGTACTAACTTGTGAATAGTACTTTTGATCTCCTTGTTATGATGTAAGCTCCCACCAGCACTATCAACTCTAAAGCCGGTCAGCTGTTTTAACCACCTTTGGGCCAAAGGATTTTCACTATGCACTTTTAACAATAGTTAGGAAAAGAAAACTGTCAAATCATTATTTAGGCAAAACCTGCTCTTCATACCAAGGAAGAATGAAACTTAATGTTATTTTGTTAAATATGTACAGTTCTGTGCAAAAGACTGATTTCTCAATGTAAGCAGAAAACATAACAGAATTACACAGAAGCCTTAACAACCCAATACAATATTCATTTTTCCATTATTAATGTAAATGTAAATACAAACAGAATGCAATGATTTGCAAATGTCATAGACCCATATATTATTCACAATAGAACATAGAACACATATCAGATGTTGAAAGTGAGACATTTTTACTATTTCATGAAAAGCATGAACTCATTTAGAACTTGATGGCAACAACACATCTCAACAAAGTTGGGACAGGGCCTTGGGACATTCTTCTTTGCATGATACAGCTTTAACTTGCATTTGTGGATTGCACATGATTTCTGGAAGTGTTCCTGAGCCCATGCAATGATTTCCAGTAGAGAATCATGCCTGTTTTCAATGCAGTGCCATCTGAAGGCCTGAAGATCACAGGCATCCAATAGTAACCGTCGGCCTTGTCCCTTGTGTACAGGGGTTTCTCCAGATTCTTTGAATCTTTTGATGATATTGTGTTCTGTAGATGGTGGGATATCCAAAGTCGTCGCAATTTTACGTTGAGAAAAATTTTTCTGAAATTGTTCCACAATTTTTAGATGCAGTTTTTCGCAGATTGGTGAACCTCTGTCCATCTTTGCTTCTGAGAGACTCTGCCTCTCTAAAATGCTCTTTTTATACCCAGTCATGTGAGTTAGTGTCATATTGCTCCTCCAGCTGTTTTTTTTCAGTTCCACTTACTTTTCCAGCCTTTTGTTGCCCCTGTCCCAACTTTTTTGAGATGTGTTGCTGCCATCAAGTTCTAAACAAGTTAATGTTTTTCATGAAATGGTAAAATGTCTCACTTTCAACATCTGATATGTGTTCTATGTTCTATTGTGAATAAAATATGGGATTATGAGATTTGCAAATCATTACATTCTGTTTTTATTTACATTTTACACAGCATCCCAGCCTTTTTGGAATTGGGGTTATATTACAGCTTCCATTCTTTTTGGGAGACTTGCTTTCAGTTTTTTAAGAAATCTGCAGGGGTATTTTTCACGCTTCCAAAGTTCAGTCTTAGAAGTTGGTCGCATTTTGTGCTTCTCACAATCCAAATAATCCCAAACACATTCAGTGATGCTGAGGTCTGGACTCTGGGGTGGTCAGTCCATTGTTCTGAGGCACCGACATATCCTTTCAGACTCATAGCATTGATTGGTCTTCTCACAATGGAAGGATGTACAGAAACATTTTTTGACTGGAAATGAAATAAATGAAATAAAGGAAGGGTGGTCTTTAACTTTTACACACTACTGTAATACTAAATAGCCGTTTAATATTTACAACTTTGTAGGTTCTTTATGCAAAAAATGTTTCATGAAATCAAATCATTACTCAGGTAATTTAAAAAGAAAGCACCGTGTCCTTAAACATTTGACTGACAGTGCACATAGTTTCGCACTATTTATAGGCAGCCTAATTGCTCTAATATGACATTCATTCAGGTTAACTTGAAACCAGTCATGTATACAGCCGGTATAGACAGGCTACGCAGAGGTCCCAGTGGGCTGTCAAATGTCTCTCATTCACTGACCTAGTCATTGACCCATACAGGTTAATAATGACATTGGCAGGTGTTATTAGCCATAAATGTCTTTTACTGCATGTCTGTGAGATCCCGTTTTGACCTGTAGCATTAGACTCTACCCACTGGCTCACTCAGACGGTGTGTCATTTTCTTGCTAATGCTCCACACTTGGTATGCCAGACATATGGAGAGACATGCCATAAAGGAGCAATTCACTGAAAAAATCATGTTCTGATGTTTGTTTCTTCATTTTGCACTGGAGCTATGAGGCCAATGTAGCTAAGAAGTAATGGAAGTCTGTGAAACCCAGAATAGCAACACAGACATAAGTTTTATGAGCCCTGTAGCTCTACTGCAAAACCAAAGAAGCAAACTTCAGGCATGTTTTGTCTAGTAGACTATGTTTTGGGGAAAGTGGGGAAACTGAGTTAAGTAGATCTTCATTAGGCCATTCCTTTGAAGGAAAAAGATGAAAGATTCAGTTGAATTCTGATTTAATTAGTGAAAGTATTTTAGTTAGTGAGTTTTGAATTGGCGTGCCAATAGTGCCAAAGTTTTTGGTGATTATAGCTGTAGACGCACCCTTCAGTATAAGGGCGAAATCCCAACTGGCCTGTCCTAAATACGATGGGCCTATCATACTCTCTTATTTTAATGAGACTTCCTACCAGTTCCTCCTGGAGAGCTGGCAAGTGCATGCATAATAATTACAACAGAAGAGAGACCCCTTTCCTGCCAAAATACAAATTTTATGACAAAAAAAAACTATGTTTATAAACATGACATGCAAAAATCTGAATATTAAACCAGTTCTACAATATGGATTTTAAAATACCTCCACTGAGATTTTGAGGGCTTCTCTCTTGCTGATTCATGGTTACAAAATCCATTGATGTACTTAACAATCAAAGTTTGGTTGCACAGCTTGACCTTAGCCTCAGCGTATAATCATAGGCTGTTTTGTTTGTTCAAATGTAAATTTGAGGCATCTTCTGTAAAAGAAGTCTGTTTACTAGTTTTATGGCGCAAATGAATAGGTAGGCAATTCTAAAGGCAAGTTTTCTATACAGATAGAATACTGACTAGTTATATTCCAGTAAACAAAATCTGTTCATTCTTACTTGCGTGTCATCAAACAAATGAACAATGGTGTACCAAACAGCTTTGTTGTACAACATACCCAGTTATTAAAATGGCATCTAATTAGAGGCATTGAGCAGACATTTTACATAAGATTAATTGCGTTTTTTAAGAGCGCTTTCTCTTCATTATCATTCTGTCTTGCAAATGGATTCACTGCAGTAGTGATGCATATTCATTTTCCAGAAGCTAGGACGTAGTCGGGAAATAAGCCAAAGGTGGAACTAGACTGCAGAGTCTTGAATACATGAACCTCCCTCTGCTTCTAGCTGATTCAGAATCAATACAGAACAATCAATATTCAGAATCAATGTAGGACTTTACACCCCTCATTAGTGACCCACACAGAATTATATATTGAAATCTATTAAAAATCTATTACAATATATTTTACTTTCTGGTTACTTTTTTTGCAACATTTTGACAACATATAACAATAAATATACAGTTTTGTGTACTGCAGAAACAGTAAATAAATAATTGGCCACTTCATCATAATACTAATAATAATTAATAATAATTGGCCTCAACATCACTGAATGTGTTCAGTTATTATTTTTTTTTCCCTTTGGCTTGTTATTGATATTTTATTTTCAAAGGGGTTGGATGTGCAACTAGGGATGCAAAACTGCTCAGCCAAGATACACTCCATAAGCTGCTCTTAAGACTAATGGAGTTTAGACCATCAGGCATGTGTATATCTGTAAATGAAATACCCAGAATTACTATTTCACATTATTTACACAATCAATAGTGATGGCATGATGCATCTTTTTTTCTGATACTGATATTCACATCTCAGCACTTTTTATTGAAGCATTTTACTTCACTTGAGGGGCAGTCATGGGTTGGAGGTTAGGGAACCAGCCCTGTGACCGGAAGGTCGCCGGTTTGATCCCCTGAACCGACAGTATGTGACTGAAGTGCCGTTGAGCAAGGCACCTAACCCCCAACTACTCCCTGGGCAGTGTGTATGTGCACGGAAGGGCTAAACACAGAGGTGAAATTTCCCTGTTGTGGGACTAATAAGGGTCACTTAATCTTAATCTTGATCACCTAAGATAAACATCTAAAGTAGGCCATCATGCTCAAACTACTCAAACACTACTTTCATTTAGTGTTTATATGCCTCTAAGAAATGTGAGTGGATTAAGCAGAGCTCCACTATACCATTCTAAAGACTTAAATATTGCACTTTTAAAAAATTGAGTGCTCCAATAAACTGAAAACAGAAACATCTTAACATAATGCACATTTTCATTCCTTATTTTTACTGTATTTACAGATGTATTCAATCAAAACAACACTGTACTGTATCAACCCGAATTCTTTTAAAATAATTTATTAAAAATTAATAACTGTAATAATTTTGCGAATTGTTACACACTTTGGAATGAGAGAGAAAGCCAGTAGAGGTTTATGGGGGAGGAGTTAGTGGTTTAGGTGTGTGAGT